AGAGAGAGCGAGCGAAAGAGACAGACAGCCAAAATATGTTGTTCAGCTTTATTTTAAACATACTAAGTTAATACTAAAATATATGCATTGCAGTTCTACAAAAAATCAATATAGCTCAGAGTTGTTACTTGGTCATAATTACGATCATAGTATAGGGCAGATGTTTGTAACGAGGACTGTACTGTTGTTTGGACTTGCATTTGGCTGAATTTAAAATGACGAAAATTAAAGTTAACAGTATGTTGCTAAATTAAATTGCTTGATTAACTCAATTTGTTTAGGATATAAATCATGACGCAAACGAACATTACAAAAAATTCAAATCTGCAGCCTAAATGAGACATTTTGCAAGGTGAAGAGTCTTAATTCTTCACGTGTTGCCAAAAAAAAAAAAGCCTCATTATGAATACATCTCCGATGTAGGAAACCTGGGTTTGTTGCCTACACCCATATTTCGATAAAATATGACTACGGCAGTAATATGACACGGGCAGCATCATTCTAAATTTTCCGGTCTGTTGCGCATGCAATCAATAGTTACCACTTAACGAGCATCTAGACGTACACCCGAAACCCCCATGGGTGGTAATATTTATGGAACAAGTACTGCTATACATGATATACCAGCACAGCATAAGGCAAAATATCTCTAAAGATTCACACACACACGAACCCACGCCACGCACGCAGCGCACGCACGCACGCACGCACGACGCACGCACGCACGCACGACGCGGGGTACTGCACGCACGCACGCACGCACGCACGCCACGCGACGCACGCACGCGACGCGAGCGCACGCAACGCACGCACACACACACACACACACACACACACACACACACACACACACACACACACACACAAAGCACTGATCAGTTCGGTATAGTAACTATTTTAATTGAATCTACTTGCATTGAATACTATATCAAAGTTTGCATTGGTAAAAGGGTACCCAGCTGTGCATGGGCTGCTATCAATACCAAACATTCTACCCTTTTGTTCATCTCACAGTCTCATGCATCGACCACCATGCTCTCTCATCTTGCTTGTTTTATTCATGGCAAAACCAACATTTTCTTTACATTAAGCCCAGATTCGTCTAGACAAATGACATAATCCAAAACACGTGTTTAAAAAACGAACACTGACGTCGAAACACCAACGTCAGAGACTTCATCACAGATAACCATTTACGTCAGTCTCAAAGAGTTCTTAAAACTATACTCGAATCACCAGGCTATAATCATGGAAGGGGGAAATACTGGTCTGTCATTTTTTAAGAAGACACTCTGCATGCAGCGATTTTCCTTCTGCCTCTGTGGCTGTGCCTTCGCAGTTGAAGAATGCGCAACCAACCTACTATAGATAATCAAGCGCTTATAATACCTTATTATTATAAGGTATTATTAGCTCTTGATATATAGTGTTGGCCCTGGATTATGGAATTTCGTCCAAATTCTGACTCCCGACTCTCATAACTTGCTATGATAAAATAATCACATAATATCAATATGACACATTTGTTCTATATTTACTGCGCACGCTGAATAAATAAAATAATGTCCTTTGACACCTAAATAGTAAATACCGGTGAATTGAGAAGCAGCCGATTAAATTAAACAAATAATAGACGCCATTGGCGAGGCCTCTTTTGTGCCCACTACATCGCACATAACGGATCTAAACTATACATGAAACATGGAACCACGCACAATGTGAATGCAACATAGTAAGTCTGTACGTGTGCACAGTAAAGGGATATCACATAATAATATTATGCACGACTAGTAGGAAATATTGCACGCTTATAAATTGAACCTTTTCTCAAAACTGCATTTTGCATGTGAGACGTTGGGCTATGTCACACCACAGGCCCTTGGAGGCTCAAGTTTCAAGAAGAGTATAAGAGCGAAGCACCGCTTCGCTCTTCTTATACTCTTCTTGAAACTTGAGCCTCCAAGGGCCTGTGGTCACACGTATTATTGTCCGTAAAATAGTAAACTTGAATAACTCATTATAAGCCAGTAACATATAAAGTGTAAAATCGTTGTTAAGTATGCAGCGAAGCATGGCATAACTTGCCGAAACAAAACAGACTGATTGTCCCTTTGCTTGTTCCTAAGCCGAGATATTATAAGCAGTAAAAGCTGAAAATTTTAGAGAAAATCTATAGCTAGAAAACCTGTCACGCACATGTCTCGTGAGGCTACGGTAAAAGTCCGGCTTACTGCAATTTATTGCCGATCAGTTATCATTCTAGTAGCAAGTGGATGGTTACGTTGCAGTGTCAGGTTAACACATGGTTTGAAGATAAGCTACATAGAAGGAGGGAGGGAGGGAGAGAACTTGCATAAAGTAACAGAGACAGGTTACCAGGCTAAAACCAATTACGACACTGTAACAGATGAACTTTCGTCGTAATTAGATGCATTTGTGCCTGTATCACCATTTACAATGCAATTGTCAGGACATTAAAAAATATAGCTGCGTTATTACATGTTCAAGTGCTATACTATACGAAATTCACAGGAGAAATTCACGGCAATTTTCAAGTTGGTGTAAGGAGTAGCATATCCGCTAGCAACATATAGCATATAGCAGGTGAGGAGATATTTCGCTATATATTTTTATTTTTGAATGCATTTAAGAAATAATTCCTAAAATTCCTGGGTTCAATGGGCGGCAAATCCATCAGCAGATGCATTGCAGCAATTTGCCTGGTATTCACACCAGTTTTCCGTTACCGATTCTATCGTGAAAAATGAGAAGAGCTGCACGATTGAAGCAGAAGAAATTAAGGACGCGTCGACGGCCGCTACTCCGCAATTCTAGTGCTTAATAACGATGCGCTATCGGCCTGAGACGTGATGATGTTACAGCAGGGCTGCACATGGTGCCATTACCACCGACCGTCGGTGAGCACACTAAAACGTTCGAAACAGTCACGAGAAAATTGCTTTA